ACCCATGTAAAACAGCCGAGCCCGAGGCGCGATAACACGCTCTTCGTTATTCTTAGTAGCTCTTATCTCTGTAAGAATGGAAAATGCAAATAAATTTCGGTTGGAAAGCTAACCATTAACTAATGTTTCCACTGCTTTAGGGGAAGTCGTCAACAAATTCATGCGATAAGTTGCTTTTCAGTCAAATGCTAATTCGCTGAAACTGATTGGTCTGCCTTGCCTTGATACTGTTTGCGGTAAATCTACTAGAGCAGTGTCCATCTAATTCTTCTTGATCAATTTCGATTCATCGACAAATTAAGAGCGTTCGATTCAGTTCATTAATAAATGATCGAAAACTTCGTATAGTAAACGTGATAGAAGCAAAAGTAATACAACAGTTTTAACGAACCAGACTGAGACATTTGATTGAGGAACAACTCTTCACAGATTATTTACTTTTTACCAACTGCCAGTCACGAAATGAAAAGCTTATAAAGTCCGAAAAGACTGATTATTACTACAATAATTTCAAATGATTGGGCTTTTGGCCGATGTGACTCTAACCACAGTTATTTTAAATTCGTTCTTCCCGTTTGGACGAAACATTATTACTGGAAAGTCGTAAGCTTGCGGATTGACAAACAGTCTTGTCTTAATTTTCTTAAACCAGAAAATTGATATCACATAAGTTTGACCACAAAATAAATGGAAAACAAGGGGATGCACAGTGTCTTTGGTTCATTCAAACACGTGAGCGCATCTGTCATTATTTTGATAAAATGTAATTATCATTTTCTGGGTTTCCTATATTTTTTTCCTTACTGATCAAAATCATTCTTGTGCTGCAATGGGAAAGTGGTGACTCTATCAAAAGTTTTGAAAAGGTTTACGAAAAAATGAAAACGTTCTTTCCCCATTTTGTTTTCTCCGTGAATTCAGAAACGTAAGCTCCTTCAATATGTGTTATTTTCAAACATTTCTAAGTAGATTTAATCTGAGTCAAAGATTCTGTGTTATTAAAATTTTCGCGTTGAAGTGATAAGAGTTACACCCGAAAAAGTATAATTCCATTTAATACCCTTGTTTGACGCATACCTCTGTGTCACACAACCCTCTAAAACCAGGTGATGATGCTACAACCTTCAAAGCGGGATTGAACGAAATGCAAAACCTCAAAGGGGTGTCTGGACTTTTCGTTGATAAGGCAGAGTGTGTGGTTTTAGGGCAGCTGTAACTCTAACCTTGCAAACTTTTAATATTAAGCGCAAACGCCCTTTGGGTTTTCAAAGAGAACAAAAGAAGTAGAAACTATTGAGCGCTAAAGTGAAATACGGTAGGTTTATCTACTCTGACTCATTTCGTAAAAGTAGCGTGTACAGGGTCAGTTGATCTATTTAAATTTTCGTTCAATTCTTCGGCAAACTTCTCGGTTAATGATGTGCTTTTCAGTGACCTGCGGAGTTATCATTAACATTTCACTTGAATCTCTATATTTAGCGTGTCTTGTCAAACAAAAGACGAGTAAAAAACACTACTCAGGTTTTCAAAGCATTGGCATAGCTGCCAACCTCTAAATTTTTTTTTTCTTTTTACCTAGGTAATTAGCAGAGGCCATTAACCCTTTCACTCCGAGAAGTGTGATGAATCTGTAACTTCTTCAAATCTTCAAACAGGTAATGAGAATACTCAATCTTATCAGACAGGTTGTATCAGACAGCGCGTATCCGGTCTCAGTTGTAGTACGTCACGTGTTTCAGACTAGAATTCACATGATGAAATAAGGTATGGGTTATTTAAGAAATGCATCATGATTCGCCGAAGACTTAATCAAAGAGAAAAAGTTAGTCTTATTCTGATTGGTTCTTGTCAAAGTTTATATATCATGTGCTTGTTTATCCAGTCAGCATGTATCGGGTATTTGTGTGTTGTTAGTGTGAAACTTCTAATGCAATAATTACACAAACTTTTCCTTTTAAAATGATGGAAACACGACAAAGATTACACTCCTCCTGTCGTAGTTTCACCCTCGGAAATCTCGGACATATAAGGAGGTCGCACTAAACCAACCACAGATTGTGCTCCCTCCCTGACAACCAACAAATCATCGCTATTTCATGCTTCTCAGTAAAAGTTAGCATCAACAAACTGGGGTATTAGTTGCTCTCTATTCCAGCTATAAACATGGATATTAATGTCGTTAGGCACGATCAATTAAGATGGTACTGGGGATTCAATCTATCTGATCCTCCGTTTGAAGTTCTGGCTTAATCAAGGGAACTTACTACCAGGCAGCAAGGGAAGTTTATCTTCACATCCACCTTCATTACTGTTAATCTACTGTTCGAACCTCTCTAAAAAGTCTAACTTTGGAAGAAAGGAACGAAAATTTTTTCGTTAGGTAGCGGTTAATTGAGGGTACGTGCAGCGTGAATTCTGTTTTTTCTGAAGGGCAGAGCATTCTAACTTCTTAAAAAAAAAAGAACAAAGCAACACAACTGAGCAAAGCAACATCAACAACAACACCAAGACACGTACAAAATAAAAAAAGGTAACTGAATCAAAGCAGAGTAATTCTTCGGAAACCAAAAGCTCATGTTCAGAATAATAACAAAACGAAACGAGTGATTCAGAATGATTAGATACAAGTTTGCAGAACAGCTGTTTTTAGTTACACAGACATTTATTACACCTCTGTATAACACTGTCAAGGATTGTGTGCCCGATTGATTTGTCACGCATTTTACTTTGTCAAACGTCCACTTAGTGATTAACTTATGGTCATGGAGATGTTATGCAGCATTCACGCAGCACCTTAGCGGCCTTTGCCTTGTGAAGAGTGTCAAGAGGGAAAAAGGCCTAAGTGAACTGTCATTCATGGCAAAATAAAAATGTTCGGTGCGAAGAGGTGGTCGTTGTAGAGGGATGGCCGTCAGCGTTGGTTTGACCTTAGTTTCCTAATTTAGGAGGGCAGTTCTAGAGGTCGTGGGGTAAGGTGTGTGCCCAATCACAATGAGTTCGTGATCCCCACGTGCATCTGTCTCTTAGAAACAAAACGATCTACGTAATCTACGATCTACGTAAACAGTTTTTTATTATACGTAATATACGTCCTCCAAGTTTAGTTGTCAAAAGAGCGGCAGCAAGCTTATGCCGGCAACATGTTCTCCTTAGTGTTGATAGCAATTTCAGCTTTGGTCCCTGTCAATGGCGCTGATTTGTCTGCTGAGTTTGCTCACGAAGCAGTTTTAGATACTTACGAGAAAATGAAACTGTTCTGGACGGTGAACTGGGAAAATAAAACCGTATCCTTTGCCGTTCAGGCAGCAACAACAGGGTGGGTTGGTTTCGGCATCTCTTCGGGTAATGGAAATATGGCCGGAAGCGACATGGTTATCGGATGGGTGAAGGACTCCAAGGGTTACCTAACGGTAAGTGAATTTTTGCCGAAAGGACATTAGTCACGGTGGATTTCTAGGCAGAAAAAAAAAGGTTAACAAAGAAAAGAAGGAATTAACGCCATCACTACATCCGGATTTAGATGACTAAACGAATAGCCAAAGCGACGTTAAAAACTGCATTTTTAGCCATTTCTATTTGGATCAAAACTTCCAACACTTTCAAACCAGTGCCTAAATTTAGGAAGTTTTTGTAATTGCACGGAAACATTGGAATTTAAATGCTGTTCAAGCAAAGATTTGCTCTTCTGTGAACATTGTTTACATTATTAGCGGTATCAGCACAACATTGACCCGTTGTCACGCTAACCTGCCTGTACATAAAGGTAAACTGATGCATCTATGTTTTTTTTTGTTGTTTAAATTATGCAAAACAGTTTTGTATTATACGTTGTCGTTGGTAAGCGAAATCAAAAAGGAGCAACTACTTGTCTTTTCAGAAGAGTTGGCCCTTCAAAGCTGTACATTTTTCACTACAGAATAGTCTGCAGTTAAGCTGTGAATGAAGCTTAGCTTAGACAAATAGATAACCACGGTTAGTTTTGATCTCGTTGTATTGACTTGTTTTGAAGGACCGGTTTGCTGATGCCCAAAGCTTTCCACCGTTGGACAAAGAAAACAACTACAACTTAACTGGGTTTGAGGAAAGCGAAGGGAAAACTGTGTTGAGATTTAGTAGGAAATTTGACACCTGTGATCCTCGCGACAGGAAGATCGAGGTAATCCTTAACATAGCCTATTCGTTTTTTTGCCGCCAACTCAGCCAAATTGTTTAATCATGGCTAAAAAAGTAATTGTACTGCCTTTTAAAGGCAGTGTTACTGTGTCTGAATAAATTGTATACCATATTGATATAACATTTATCGCTACATCATTCAACTGTTCAGCGCTAATTAATTATGTTTTCTTGTTTCTTTTTCAAAGCAAATCAAGTAAATTGCTATTTCCCGGTTCATTTTCTTTTACAGGAAGGCACCACTAAGGTTGTTTTTGCATATCATGCAGAGGACCCCACGTCTGAGGACGATATGAAGAAACATACATTCCGCGGGTCGAAGAGCATTCTACTTCTTAACAACATGGACAAAAAACAAGTGAACGAAACCGGGTGGAAGCAGTTTTACGTCACAAATAGAAATGTTAGTTACAAATAAAAGTTCTTCTTTTATTTTTTTAAATTGTGGAGAACGTTATCGAAAGTGAAGATTGTAGAGTGTCCATTCAGGGAGTTTGAAGCCTACTCAAAACAGAGATATACATTTTTTTTCAGATAACGATTCCTAAAAAGCGCACGACTTATTGGTGTTCTCTTATCCAACTACCCGAGTTCAAATCAAAGCATCATATTACAAAGGTGAGTACTGAAGCGTAAAACATTGCAATAAAACCTGTTTTCATCCGTTTATCTCTTCTTATGGTTAAGTGATTGATCAATGCAGAAGGCCACCGCGTAAATTCTTACGAAAATGAACTTGAATGTTCGAAAAATTATGAACTTGCATTTTCAGAAACGTGTTGATAACAAATTGTTTAGACGCTCCAACTGAGTTCTTCAAGGAAAGGCAAGTTCGTAGCCGGTGAGAGTTCGTGACATTGCAACAACTTTTGACATTTCATTAATGCATTTCAAAATTCTCCACTTATTATTAGTCGTGTTAGAAAAAGCCACACTTTAAAGTTGAGTGGTTAGCTAATAGCGGATTACGAAATATCTAGGAATAGGGAAGAACCTAAGGTGGGTTTACGAAAGGTGTGCCGATTGGCCCAGGGTTTCACAAACGTTTTGGTTCTTAGTGGCATTCTAGAGATTTCCTCGTATTAAGTAATCAATAAGTAGAAGTAAAGCGTTCCACTATTGATGTTGGTGTCGCTTTCGAAGAATTTTCAGTTTTTTCCTCTTTTATAGTTTGAGCCATATGTAACACCTGGAAACGAAGGCATTGTGCATCATTTACTCGTCTACGAATGTTATGGGAATTTTAGTAATGCTACCTTACATGGTTCTGGCTTTGACTGTCATGAAACACCCAATATGCCTCTAGGACATTGTTACGGCTACAGTGTCGTTGCTGCTTGGGCTGTTGGTGGTACGGTAAGATATAAAACTTATAAATTGGACTTGCTCATCTTGGGAAATGAACTTTTAATTTGAAACATTTTGAATTTGAAAGGTTTTTCGTTACTCTTCCTAAAGAAATATATATATATATTTTATCAAATAGGCATTTTATTATCCACCTAAGGCTGGGTATCCAGTTGGTACGTCGGACTCGCCAAGAACACTTTTGCTTGAACTACACTACGACAATCCCAAATCAATTGAAGGTTGGCACCTCACATTTTGCTTTTTTTATTCGTTTTCATTTTTAGTTAAGGAGAAAAAGTATTAAGAGGTGTCGTTTTTTGCCCTCAGCCATAAAATATCTCATTCCCTCAATATATTTTTTTTTTTTGTCAAATAGGACGAAGAGACAGCTCAGGGGTTCGTTTTTTACTACACTCCTCATCTCCGTGAGTACGATGCTGGAATAATGTCTGTTGGAGAAGATATAACTGACCTTGCGATAATCCCACCAAAACAGGAATCTTGGTTGACTGTGGGTTATTGTCCCAAAGAATGCTATCAGGTAACTCAAATATTCACAATAATTTCTTAAATTCATCTCCATGCAATACAGAGTTTAAAAAAAAAAAAAAAAAAAACCAAAAAACAGAAAAAAAAACAATGCATGGCAGTATGGTGAAGCTGGCTCCGAAAATGGGCAAAACACAGGTGGTTAACAGATTATGATTTCACCTTTTTTTTATTCACGGTGCATTTAAGTTCGCACAGTGCCTAGGAACGTGTGTCATAAATTTACTTCTGCATTTAACATAAAGCACCTTTTTTTCTTAGGAAGACTTGCAGGCGACTAAGCTCCCTGAAAAAGGAATAAAAGTGTTTGCTGCCCTTCTTCACACCCATCTGCAGGGTAAGTGACCTTGGACTGCTTTTGTTATTTAGAAGTGGTGGTTGTTGTTTGTTTATATTTACGCCTGTCTGTCTTATGTTTCCATGTTCTGTTGACAGTCGTACGTCATTATGGAGCCAAACTTAAATATCACTGAGTTTTTGTTTTCATCCACAGGGCGTGCAACATGGACAAAGCATGTTCGCAATGGAATTGAGTTACCAGAAATTGCGAGAGATGACCATTATGATTTTAACTTTCAGGTAATTTATATAGTGTGGCACAAGATCCACCATTAGCATCTGGCGAATGCACAAGAATTATAACACATGGCTTCTTTCAAAAAACAATTTGCAACAGTATGCTGCTCCCTCTTCAACTTGTCCTTTATTTCACTTGAATCAATTTGTCCAATCGGAACTACTAATTTTTTCACGACATCCAGAATCCTCTAATTTTCGATATAAATGTTTTTATTTTACCCAGTCGGTAACAACATCAATGATTATCGCGACCGTATAAGATAACTCTGCTACTTGCCAGTTATCGCTTACGGAAGTCATATTATAACCATAACCTTAACTTACTGAGCACTGTGGCCATTCTCTGAGAAATTACGCGATTGCATGTGGGGGAAAAAGCAATTAAGATTCAAGTGCTCCTTTCGGGTGTCGAAACGTGATACATTCCAATAAGTGCCTTAGTATATCTTCTACTACGTGAGCCATAGGACATTGCTGGCTACCAAGCTGCGAAATGATCTCATTGAAAGAACGTTTATTCATTTTCCAACAGTTAACTTTCACTTGTTGTTTCGCAGGATATACAAGTTTTAAGAGAAGAGGCTCACATCAAACCGGTTTGAGAAAACTTTGATTTTAGTGCCACTTTTCCTTAGAATTACATTTGTTTTCAGCACATAAACGCGTAATAATTAATATGAGTTAGACGATGTGTCCCACTGATTTATTCAATGCACTCAAGCTTTCCACGCAACCATTTCGAATTAGTATTTAAATGAGCAAATGTCATGGAAAAATCTGATAAAAGAATAACATTGTATATGATTATTTTACGTTCCTTTTTAAAATCAAGTTAGATTAAGTTAATTTGTGTTTGATTGTTTTTATCAGATCGAGATTTGTGAATTGGCCTCTAGATGATCACCATACATTTCGTTTTCTTCACTGACGTCTTTCTTATCCTTCAGGGGGACGACTTAATTCATTTCTGCAAATACGAGACGATGGATCGCGATAAACTCGTGCAGGCAAGTGCGATATCTGAGCCCTCAAAAATCACTAAGTAGTCTCTCTAAGAATAAGGACGGCATTCAGAATTCAGACTTATGCCAGCCGAGGTGTTGGTTTCCTCTTAACAGTGACATCTCTCTCAATCTATATTTCAAGAGATTGCAATAAAAACATGCCATCGTTGATTTTTGCTGTATATGCTTCATGACAGACTAAAAGATGATGTACTCTTCTTCCTCTTACAGGCTGGTAGCTCCACCACTCAAGAAATGTGTCTGAATTACATGTTTTACTATCCTCGAATGGTGAATGCTACAGCATATTGCCTCAGCAGCCTACGTAAGCCAGTGCACGACTTCGTTAAAGAACACTTGTAAGTGAATTAATACATACTTGTTAAAGTAAAGTTGAAATTAGATCTGGTCTGCTTTCAGGAAACCACCTTAATACGTCTGTCGAGAAAATAATCAAAACGGAGCATCAAAAGTGCGAAGAACTGCTCAAGTAAAACCGGTGTTGCATGCTTTGCCACCTTAAATCTTTCGCATTTCTCAATAATAATCCTGTTTTTGGGAGCTATTTTACTGAATAATCACCCATCCTTACTTAATTTCACAAGTACTGTCATCGCTTAAATAATAAAGTAAGAAGTTTAACACTGAAGTGTTGGTATTCGGGGCATTGTAATTATTTCCTAGATATGCTAGTTGTGTATTTGGTTCAATCCTCTACTGTCGTGCTGAGGTATCCCCCCCCCAAAAGGAGAAAATGAATTTCTTTTACAAGGGGCTCTATCATAGCCTATATCCGCGAATTTCATTCTTCGCGTGAATAGAACTGATCCGTCCAGCAAGTTTCTTGAAGGTAATAGAACATTCAGCGTTGATTATGACTGGCATCCTTTCTTTGCCAAGTCGTCAAGAAGCTGGATAAATCTCATTGGCGTTCTAGTCAACTAACACAGTGAAAATTGACCAACAAATGAATTTAAGCACATGACTGTCTGACAGAGTATTATCCTTATAACAGCCTAGAGAACAAAACTCAAAGCAAACTGCAAAAAGTAATGTTTGCGAATACGAAAAGAGTTGAAGAACTCGGAGCAGATGTAAAGCACACACCATAGCACCTAAAGAAGCGAACATGATTGCGGAGTTAAACCAAAGATTGTCTATTAAATCGTAGAGGTATAGCATGTCTTGTTTCAAGCAATGTTTGGTTTCAATCTATTTTTAACTTTAAATTTTCCTTTGTCTAGCCCTTCCTTAAAGGGGTCAAAATGGTCAAATCCTCTCATTGGGGCAAATATCTCATGGACGAAGGAATTGGTGTCTGACTTGAGGAAGAAATTTGATGAAGCAGAGACATTTTCCACATATTGTCCCGCGGTCAGTAAACTCATTAGGGGGCACGAAACTCGCTACAGTTAACATTACCGTACAGTGCAATTCTTGAGGGTGCTAATGAGATCCCGACATAACGTGCATGAAAAAATGTCGAAATGATAAAACAAGACAAATAATGGGCGTATGATCATGAGTGTGTGTGCTTGTCTATTGGGTGGAGGGGACCCTCTTAATCTGGGATGGTAAATGCCTGGTCATAGGCATAGTTTTCATCGTAATCGTAGTTTTCTTTATCTTCAATCTGATTCAGTATGTAACAGTAAGTCTGCCACCTCCTTAGAGGAGTAAAAGTAAGTGTACAGTGCTGATTCTCCTGTGAAATATCGTTAATGTTTTCCTTCCCAGAGACCTAACAACTACACATATCCGATTCCAAAGATCATGAAGCCCTTACCTCCTCGACAGTCCAACTGCCGCGAAAGAAGCACAACATCGGTCCCTCCAGTCGGAAAAACGGTCCCTCCTGTTGGAGAAGCCTTCTCTGTGACGACCTCGTACTCCACAGCAATATCTCTGCTTTTTAGCTATTTCGTGTTCATGTGAACGATCAGATATGCCATCATGATCACAGTTCAAGACTGTCTATCACAAATTGTTAGAGTTTACACTTAAACCAATTTTTGCTCCATATCTTAACCTAGAGATGATCTCTTAGAGGATTAACACTGCTAAAGTGGACATAGATATCCATCACTAACAGCATTAGTGAGCTTTTTTTTTTATAGAGGCGTTAACGGCTAAGGCAAACGGAAAAATAAACTCTGATTTCCCTCACCTTGTACTTGGTGTTCTCGATTACTCTAGAATTCCCTTATTAAACTAGTTCTTGCATACTGCTGTACAATATGGGGTAACTGTTCAAAATAACAGTTGAATAAATTGTTACGGCTACAGAACCGCTGCGCCAGAGTGATGGAAGATGTTAATTTACAGGACAATTCAGTTATGTTATTTACCAAATTAGGTTGGCTTCCCATCGACAACATCATTCGCGCAATTTCACAAAATCGGTAACCGGCGACCATGGTTAAGAATATCTTTACTTTCATATTAACTACATTAAGGTTAGTCAAAACACTACACGAGAACTTCAGAAAGAAATCTTCTTATCATGCTTATGAGCAAGAATAATTAAGGCCTCAGAAAATTCCATTCCAGTGCCACTCGTCGATGGAACGGACCGGAACCATCTCTTAGAGATACGAAGTCACAGAGGCGCCTTTTAAGTCCCCTTCACAGAAAAATTAGACTGGAAAAGCTCTGTTACTGAACAGTGTGTTATTGAATACAAATATTAACTTCAATTTACCAAGCTTCTTTTTCTTTTCCTTCAGATTTGGTTTGTTCTAGTTTTAGATTATCAAAGGGGGGATTATGTAAACTATTGAGTTATCGTTAATCGATGTTACCCTCGTTAAATAAAATTAAAATTAATAATAATAATAATAATAACTATCATTATCCAATCATGTCCGACCAAAAGAGCACAAAAGAAAGAACAATATTATTAAAAACAATGTATGAAAGTCGAAGAAACTAGTTCCTGCGATTGAAATTCTTCACACCTTACGCATGAAGATCGAGACAAGTGATTTTTAGCGAGTGCTCTGTTTTGTCAAAGGTATAAACTGGCGTTTCTTTAACTACTCCTGATTGAATCTAATTTAATTGAATCTAATGCGTAACAATGGCAGCGATTTGTCACGCTTCGAAAAGCTCCCGCTATTCTGTGACTTTGTTGGCTCTATGCATCGCGTTTTTTATGTTGACAGAAATCTACTTACCAAGAAACGTACTGGAAACCTGGAAGCACCGAGAGACGAAAAATATAACCAGTTATCGGACGGAATTTGGATCTCAACCTGAAAGAACACAGAGTCAAAGACCACTTTGCCGTGGAAAACGAATTCTTCTTTTTCGAGTGCGCCACTCAACCGATGAGCGGAGCTGGTTTAACATCCAATGACTATAACGTTGTGCAGATATTCAACTTAATTCAGGCCTGATAAAGTTTCTCTGTAACGAAGGTGAGAAGAGTGTTCGAAACAATCAGAATGCTCTGAATGTGGTCTATGGATTCACGCAAAGTGCCTCAACATGTCGACATCGACTTTTAAATATTTTCTTGAACGACCAGCAATCTATTTTGAATGGACTTGTCTGCTATGTTCTCTACCGAGATTGAAGGACTAATTTTTTTCCTTAAGAATGAAGAAATAACAACAATCGAAGGAAAGTACACAAATCAGCTTCTACAACCTAATGCAAGTGAGATGAAGAACACACAATTTCACTCCCAGGAGAATATGGCAATTAACAACTGCGGCCAACAGGAAATTGATCTGCTCTTGCAAGAAAGGCAGGAACATTTCAATCGGATACTAATGTTCCATCTACACATCAACAGCCTCCAAAATAAATTTGATGGACTGAAACTCCTAAATGATGAGATGAAGTCGCAAATCATTTTTCTCCCAGAGATAAAGATCGACAAGTCCTACCCGAAGAGCTAGTTCACCTTAACGGGTTACATGTATCGAAAAGACAGAGAGAAATGGCCTATTTTAACTCTAGTCAACCCTCGAAGGAGCTGAAAGTAACGAAGAAATACAAAACACTCGAGATTATTGCAGTAGAAGCTAGACTTGGCAACAACGAAGTCATTTTCCTTGGCATATAGCGATCCTCAAAACAGTCGGATCACCAACCAGACCTACATTATTTAGAACGTGTAGAGGAGGAACTGAACGACGTCTGTGAGTGGGCTTCCCTCAAGAATCAAATATTTATTATTACAAGTGATCTGAAGCTGGACAGGCTAAAAGCAGAAAGCAGAGAAGGGAAAATACTTGCGACCTAGAAGAAGTGAATGGAATGCAATGTTTAATCACCGGGCGGACGAGGATTAGGCCGACATCAGAGACACTGCTAGACGTTATTTTAACCAAAAAATCCAACCTTTTCAGGACGGAAGGCTCTTTTAACTCAGAGATATGTGATCACCACCTCATTTATGGCATTTTAAAGCAATCTGATGACAGTATAGACGGGAGACCATCCCATTAGAAGCCTGAAAAACGTGGAAACGGTTCAGCTTAATGAAGACTTGGCAAATGCTCCTTGGACTGTTGGAGAAAAACGCAATGCCATCGTTGACCAATATGACGCATGGAAAACCATTTTTGAAAGTGAACTTGACAAATATATGCCGAAAAAGAAGATGAGAGTTAGACAGAAGGATGTGCCACATATGACGGAAGAATGGCAAATGGCAATTAGGAAAAAAAGGAAATATGCACAATTGTTTGCCCAAAACCGAACTCGAGAAAACTGGGAGTTAAAAAGGAAATGGCGAAATTTGGCCACTAAATAGAGGAGACGTGCTATCAAAGCTCACTGGGCCCAAAAATCAGATGGACTGAGGAGGAGACGAAGGGATTTCTACAAAAAGTTTAAACCTTCCTTAAGTGACAACAGCAAAGAGGAGACAAAAATTGCCATTAGGATTAACGAGCGAATTGTAACAAACCAGAAAGTAGTGGCAGACGAGCATGGAGACTACTTTTCAAATGCCATTGATAGTGCATCGCCATTTTTCATGTATAAAGTAAAAAACGGACTTATGCCCACTTACATTACAGAAATATTTAATACTGAAACGACATAATCTGAGGAACGCTGATTTCAATTTTTCCACGTTTTCGCACAGTACACTATGGAAAAACACTCTCTGTGATACTTTGGGCCCCATCTTTGGAATAAATTAGAACAAAGTGATAGACAGAATCCTAATTTAATGAGTTTTAAAAAACAGTATTAAGAGCAAAGGTATAATGTATACACATGTATGAGCGTCATTATTCCATCATGAGGTGCAAAAAGCAGTTTATGAATCACAATAGCTAATGCAGTGACCTAGATATACTGAAGTCCAATAGAACTGAGCAAAATTGTTAATTGTTTGAAGAGATTAAGTTTCTAGAGAAACTGTGGTGCTGCGTCAGTGTGGAGATAATTCAGGTTTATGAAATAAGTTAGGACTCGGTAACGAGTTTCTTAACCTCATGTTTCGAGCGTTAGCTCTTTGATCTGTCCTCACTCGGTGGGTTGGTCTTAAGGTGATTCCTCATAGCAAAAAGCTGATCGGAATTTTTTTTTTAAAATTGTCGTTAAGTGTCCCAAAAATGTCCGTCTGTTTCGAGAAATACGATAAAAAGAAAGGTTACCGTGTTTGTGGAAGAGATATGACGGCCAAACTCATCCTATTCATGCCTGTACTGGTATTAATCACACACGTCATTTCATCAGTTCACGGCTCATTTTGCGGTAACTGGAAGCAATACTTTTTATTTGAAAAAAATGGTAGATAGAAGGTCTCGAACGCATTGAACAATTTGTTATGTAATTTGTGAAAAACGCAGTTTTAAACGACATCGACTCAAAACCTTGCTCGAGTCTTTGCTTCGATGGTTATAATTTGTATCCTCGAGTAAAAGGCCTCGTGAACGCTTTTAGTCATATGTTTTTTTCCCCTCACTGAATTTTTTAAAATTTCTCCAATTTAAAGGAGATAATCTAAAATTTGCAATAAAAATATTTCACCGCGCTCGTTTCAGAGATAAAGACCATCGCACGTGTCTACCTGGTCTATTTATTGAAAAACAATACCGTTTTCTCGGAATGCGCACCTGATTATGTGATTTCTAGCTGCAGTACAGGATGCGCAGTGCAATACTGAGGAATCAGCTCAAGACAGTCTTTAGGTATAAGGTTTTTTTCTTTTCTTTTTCAAGCGATTTTTCTTTAGTCTGTAAACACGTATAACATTAACTACTGCTCACATTAAAATTGTACAAGTGTATACCATGAAATCGCGCAACGTTTGTTATGAATGGCGCACCCTGTGAGTATTATAGTAATCTCATAGCTGAGAACGGTTCAAATCAACGGAACTTGTTTCGCACCACCAAGTCGCTGCCGTGTGAACCGTCTGAGGTGCCGTTTCCAAAGGATATAGCTCCAGATGATCTCGCCAAAGATTTTGGAAATTTCTTTATGCAAAAGATCGATAAGATTAATCAGTTAATCGATATGCAGAGCTCTTCGGAGATGTCAAAAGCCGGAGAAAAGGGGTGTGCTGATGCTGATACGTATGCTGGTGTCACATTTGCCAATTTTAAAACGTTATCTCAAGAGCAAGTCTCTGAACTCATCAAGAAAGCTGCCAAGAAATCGTGTCTGCTGGATCCAATGCCTACTTTGGTAGTCTTAGACGTTTTGGATGTGCTGTTACCTGTGATTACGAACATGATTAACTTGCCATTAGAATCTGGCGTTTTCGTAAGCGATTGGAAGGAGGCTTTACTAAAACCGCTGCTTAAAAAGTATGGACTTGACATTGCTTTTAATAACTTCCGTCTAGTAAGCAACCTCCCTTATGTTTCTAAACTGTCAGAGAAGGCAGCGGCTAATCAGCTCATTGACCACATGACAACTAATTATTTGCATATGCCACTCCAGTCCGCGTATAAGCAAAACCATAG